AGAAGTGTTACAAACTGGCGCAGCGCCTCACAAGAAAGAAAGTTTTCAACTGTGCTGGCTGTCTCCTCCGATCTCGTAGCTCCAATCTGCAATCTCCAGCAGCAGCAGAACCACCATAAACCATCCAGCAGATATCCAATTTAGCAGTCCGTGTGCGCAGTGAAGCGGTGCCCGCGTCGCCACCGTTTTGGTCTCCGACTTGGCTTAATTGGCCCAAAAGTATCTCAAGTGTGTGATTGTGAAAGTTCCTGCCCGTCCAAAAAATGTACGTGAAACGAGTGCTGCTCTTTGCGGCGCTGCTGTGCGCCCAGCCCTATGGCCAGATGGCCAATGAGGATGAGTCCAACCCGCTTCTGGACATGGCCTCCATGTTCTTCCAGGAGGCGCTGTCCAACCAGAACGGCGCCGCTGGTGCAGGAGGACAAGGAGGAGCTGGAGCCGGACTGGCTGGAGTGGCCTCGCTCATCGGCACATTCATGCAGGCCAATGGCAAATCCGGCGGAGGAGGAGGTGGCGGCGGTGGAGCTATGCAAATCCTGTCTGGCCTGGGCAGCCTGCTGGCTAACAATGCCCGTGGGAATGGCGGTGGTGGCGGCGGAGGCTTCGATCCGTCCATCATTGGCAATGTCCTGGAAATGTTCACCCAAGGCGATGACGAGGAGTCCGGCCCCGCCCAGAAGCGCAGCAATGGCGGAGGATCCGAGTCGGGCATTGGACTAGACACCATTCTGCAGGTGGCTTCCGCCTTCATGAACAATCAGGGAGGCGGCGGCAACAAGGCCCAGCCCTCCTCCCATCACCAGCAAAAGCGTTCGGCCTCCCAAGAGCCCGAGCCCGAGTCCGACAACGGTCTGATGAACCTTCTGCCCCTGATCATGCAGGCCGTTAGCTCATTCACCGGACCCGAAGGTCAGAGCACTCAGGAGCGTCACAAGAGCCATGCCTGGGTGCTGCCACCCTTCCTGGAGCACATCCATGTGCTGTGGGATCACTTCTCCAACTCGGAACTGGCCGATGCCCTCTACGAGAAGTCGGGCGTCAACAAAATCATGAAGGTGGATCTTTAGACTATAGGATTTGAGTATATTTCGTGGAAGAGATGTGCTCAAGATCATATAAAGTATAATTTGAATAGATATATCCGACTGGTCCCCGGAATGATGGAGGAAATACTTTACAGAACTTGAGGAATCTCTTGCAGAAGCTTCTTCTCCCTGCTAAACATTTGTCTTCCGTTTTTTCCCCCTATTCAAAACAGGGCTTCAAGGGCGGCGATGGAAAGTTGGACTACGACAAGCTCTTTGAATCGCTGAACAACCAATCCTTCCGCCGGCGCTGGATCAAGTCGGCGACGCTGTACCTGGCCGACTGGGCCAGCTATTTGGCCAATCCTGATGTCTATCTCAGGTGAGTCTACGTGGCACACACGACTTGATTTGGGTGTGGGCTGTGGGATGACCAATTCAATCCAATCCGATTCGTGGCGTGTTAATTGTAGATCACGTTCTGCTCTTCTCTTTAACGGTTCCCAATGCAGTTAGCACCTTGCTGCGATTCCACTCCGATTCTGAACAGCTGTTGTTGCTGTTACCGTTAGCCGACGCAACCTGTTTGCCAGGGTTACCTTTTGACACACTTTTTGTTCCCCCACCCAATACCCTCACAGAGCGGGTATTCTGATTTTGACCTGTTGCTCGCAGTGCAGAGAACAGGATGCCAATGCACTGAATATTGTTTTTTCTGATTAAATAAGATTCCTAAAATAGGAGAAAAAGAGTGCTGAACTGCTCAACAGTTACCATTCCAAGCTGATTCCAATAGCAAACGAACAGTGAACTAGCAAGGGTATCCAGTGGTTACCTTTATTCCTTCTTGTTTTCGCTTTGACTTGGTTTTTAGAACATGTCTGCTAATCCAGCTGGTCAACACACAGCAATCATCCCACTCCCAGTTGTGTGTCCAGGCTCTTTCGCGCTGTCTCTACCTCTGGTTCTCTCGTTGGATCCGATACAGTTACAGAAGTCAATGGCATTGTTAACGCAAACAAATAAACAAAGCAGGCCAAGAACCGGTTAGCGTTGTCCGCTTAGCCAGAAAATGGGTTGAAGGCAAAGTACACTCCATCAGCAGACATTTTTGCATGACTTTAGCAGCAGCGGCACATGCAGAGGCAGAGGCAGCCAAAGTAGGTCAAGTGACTCCAGCCTTCAGTGTTTAGTCTGCTGTCTTCTCCACTTTTTCGGCTTCTTGGCGTTGGCTGCTCATTTGCTACGCCTCATCATTGTTAGACGAACACTACTTCCACTTTCTAGCGACGACCCTTTCACTTGGCAGCGTCATGGCAGTCATCGTCAATTGTCTAATTTGTTGTTGCTTTTTCTTTTGCCACTTTCCCACCAGATACTTCCAGACGGCGCAGATCATGTTCAACGGGCTGCTGAAGTCTCAAGGTTACCCCAAGCAGACGCACTTCGATCCGGCCCGTCCCAGCGAGACCATCTCCAATCTGCTGGACCACGTGGCCAAGCACCATCTGAGTGTGAAGATCGATTCGAGGCAGTATGTGAAGCCGGCTGTGGGCTATGCCAAGGAACTGCTGAAGCTCGGCCAGGCCCGCGGCCTGCTGCAATTCAACGCCACTGAGATCAGCGATAAGCTAACGGACACGCTCAATCTGGAGGTGGGTCTAAGAATTGAGAACTGAGAATTAGGAATTGGTTGCTGGGCAATTAGCTCGGCTCCTAAGCTCCTCGCCACAAATTAAATTAATTACGCCTCGATTTTCTCTTCTGTTTCATACGAATACAATCCAATCCAATCCGATGCGATCTTAAAACAAATGTCTAACATCAAAACAGGTTATCGAACCGGTGCTAAAAGTACACCGCGCCTACAGATACATCTCGAAGACGCCGCAATGCGATCGCTATGTGCTCTGCCAGCTGAATGCAGCCGCTCTTGACCAGCAACAGAAGCATAAATCCCAGCAGCAGCTACAGCAACAGCAGCAGCAGAACCAGCAGCAGTCCAAGAAGCAGGCGACGACGACAGCCTCTGGTCTGATTGCCGGAGTTAGTCCGAAAATCGTCAAGATCGGCAGCATGGGTGCAGCCATCTTCATTAGCACGGAAACCGGTACACCATTCTGGACTCTGTTCGGTGTAATCAATGCGCCATATAATTGCGAGGTGAGTCCAAGTCCCAGTAGCCGTCTTCCATCCTCTCCTCTAGGTCTTGCTCTAACGCTTTCTATTCGTTATTTTTGCGAATTCTTGTGCAGGCCAAATATCCAGTCGACTGCAATGGTTTCCACGAGGGCGAGGCCAAGGTGACCACGGAGTACATACACAATGAGTTGTAGGTTCCCCCAGGAGGAAGGAGGAGCCATTGGCCAGAATGCTTACTAAGACGTCGATTTAGCTGTAATTGAGATAAAGATTTCGTGTGTATATAGTATTACGGATTGAAATACATTTAAAACTTAAACCATATACAGACCAGATCATCCATCATTGTGTCGGTTGATCGTTCATTTTGGAGTCAACGAACCGAAAGAGAAAAGCTTTTTCCTCCCATATACGAGTATGAGTACGAAATGCAGCAACAACTGTGTGGTGCCGTGGTTTTCCCAGCCAGTTTAGTTAGTTTAGTGGAAGCTTTTCTTGGCCAAAACCAGTTCATCTGTGGAAAACACGCCTGCAGTCGGCGGTGGCCTTTCACACATTTCAGTTTCACCCAGCTCCAGGCCTAGCCCCAGCCCCAGCAAACTCATTTGCACTTGCACTTGCCACTCTTGGCTTGCTGGCCTCACGGTGCTGTTTGTTATTTTGGTGTCGACGGGTGCTGAGAGAATCTCTTCCAAATACTGTACCATGCAGCTGGTGTATCGAGAACTCGATGCGGACATTGTCCGGCGCACCAATGCGGTGTTTCCGGCTCAGAATTGCTTTGTGGAGGTGCTGCCCGACCAGTTGATCATTCCCAGGAAGTATGTCGAGTTGGGCGAATCGATACGCTCGCTGGCCGTGTACGAGGATGATGTGTGGATGGTGTCCTATCCTCGCACAGGGTCCACCTGGGCCCAGGAGATGGTCTGGCTGCTCGGACACGAGTTGGACTATGTGGCCGCTGAACAGGACATACGGATGCGGTCTCCACTACTTGAACTATCGGCGCTGTTCAGCACAGATCATCACGAGATGGTGGCGTAAGTATACTCCACTGGGCTGGGTCCCCGCGATGAACCTGCATACTTTCTCCATTCGGCAGTCAGGCTTTTGGCAACACCGTGGAGCTGGTTCGCAATCTGCCACGACCCCGCTACGCCCGGTCTCACCTCTCCTGGCAGCTTCTGCCCGAACAGCTTAACGAGGTGAAGCCCAGGATAGTGTACACGGCGAGGAACCCCAAGGATCTCTGTGTGTCCTACTTCCACTACTGCAAGCTGCTGCACGGCATCAGTGGGGACTTTGAACAATTTGTGGAACTGTTTCTGGGCGGCCACACTCCCATGGGCTCCTACTGGAAGCATGTTCTGCCCTTCTGGAAGCGCAGCAACGATGACAATGTTCTCTTCATCAAATACGAGGACATGATTACCGATCTTCCCGCCGTGGTGCGCCGCTGTGGCCGTTTCCTGAATGCAACACATCTGCTGACCGAGTCCAGCATGAAGCGCATCTGCGAGCATCTTACGTTTGACAAAATGCGCCAAAACAAGGCGGTAAATCTGGAAAAAGTGCTGCCCGCATCGGCGTCTAAGTTCATCCGTAACGGGAAAATTGGCGACTGGCGCAATCACATGAGTGATGCGATGTCCGAGCGATTTGATGCCTGGAGTGAGCAACATATTCGTGGTTCTGGTTTAAGATTTGACTATGATTAAGTACACATATTAATGTTATATTTAAGAATCTAAAATTCGTTATTTTCAATCAAATAGAAGTGGGTATATTTACAGTATATTTTGAAAATGACCCGGCTTTTTGGTATATTTCCGAGGGTCAACCACTGAACATAAATACAACAAAACAGATTTGTTATTTCTTGGTTTTACCATGACTTGGGACACAACTGAGGCCCTAGCGGCCCACATGTGCGATGTGGTTCACTTTTACATGCTCCCAGAGCTGAAGGAAGATCTGGACAGCGTTCAGCTAGAGACGTCGCACTTTGAAAGTTATCACGCGTTGCTCACCCACGAATTGCCGAAATTCTACGATTTAGTACAAGAATTTCTTCAGAAGACCAATAATGCTGGACACGAGGAGGTACGAGGTTTCCTCTAAGTGTATTCCATAAGTTACAATCTGTTTCCTTTTAGCTGAGGGTTCAAATTGTGATGCTCCTTTGCGAGCTGACAGCATCGCCCACCGTTTACCAACTTAAAGATGAGTCCAGGAACTTGCTGCGAAATGCCCATAAATTGGGAAGGAAGCTCTCGGAGACCTGGGGGGAATCTATGGACACGCAAATACTCAAAACCTATGAGAAAAAGCTGCACAAGGACTGCTGGAAGCGGCAACTTGGCGCCGTGCATGGCTTTGCCAGATATCTAGAGGTAATAGAACGTTGAACGTACTCTATCAATCGATTTACAATGTTAGATATATTATTGCAGCTCCGTTATACGAAGGACGACAAAATGACTACCCAGATGGTTGCCTTCAGCCTGTCGGTGGGCCTCAATGTGCGCGAGTGCTACGACTTTGTCTATAAGCAGCTCGGAGTGCAGATATTTTCAATAATTCTGAAGCATGGCGTAGGCATGATGCTTGCACTCCCAAAGCCTTCGATCATTAATTGTTTCCCTTGCAGGACCACAAGGACATACAGGAGTTGAATATACACAGCGTAATCTACGATCATGCACTCAGAGATGCCTACAACATGGACTCGATCGAAGCAACGACCGCCATATGGAGTTGCCTGTACCTCTGCCTCGATCACTTTATCGATCTGGATGCCTTCACGGTTAGTGGGCTGCGTCCCCACATAATTGTTGAATATTCTTAATGGAGTTTTGTGTGTATCCACAGTGGAACCAATGCGACGATATGCTGGAACGTCTCCTTCAAAATGTGACAATGTCTTCGAAAGCGAACAACTCCATTTGCCTGCTTCAGTTTATAACACGAGTTGGCTACTACTTCACCATCAATCGCAGGGATATCGAAGCTGCTCTGGCCACTGATCTCACACAAGCGGATAAACTGGCAGCCTGCCAGGATGTGTGCTCCTCGATCAACTCCAGCACCAGCTATCGTTGGGCCAAGAGCATTTTGCAAATGCTCGTCCTGGAATCGGATAAACTGCTGCAAGGCCCTGAGGTGTGCGTAGAGCTGCTCTGCCAGATGCAGCGCTGCTATCTGGTCTGCATACTGCCCATTCCGCTTCAGGCGCTGCACGTTCATTTGTCTGAATTCTACACCAAATTCGTGGCTGTGCTCCTCGAGTGCATGGTGACCCATAAGACGTCACAGTCAGTTAAGAAGGTGAGTTTGATCTTTACACTTTCAGATGGACACCTAGATGACTGACTGATCTTCTCTTCTTTCAGTTGGTGCAACGTTTTATAGAAATATTCAGCTTTCAGCTTAAGAACTGCTCCCTAAACCAGCTACCCAGCGACCTGGAGGAGTTTGTGGAGGCATTGAAGTCCATACAACGAACCATTACTAAATAAAAACGAAAAACGAACAATTTAACTGATGAAATATTCAGCAATTAGCGGATAAGTGAATGTAGCTATGAACGCGTGTGGCAGGATCGCAAGCAGAGCTGGCCGCAGACCCAGAAAGAATCCCCTGTAGCCGTGAATCTCAATGATTTTGAGGCAAAGATGCTTCTTCGACGGGAACTTATTGTAGCCAGCATTTATGACCACCGTTGTCACCGCATCTACCGGCGTCAGAATCAATGAAATTATGCTGATCGTTATCGTCATTGCCATAAGATCGATGACCCAATCCTCATCGCGTATACGGTGGAGTTTCAAGAGCATCTTCTCAACCTTTGGTGGGGAGACGCAGTCAATTAGGAGTTGCTATATATAGTTTTTAGATGTTACCCATTCGTGGATAGGTGCGTGGAGCATTGCCATAGCTCCGGTGCTGAAACCGTGCAGCTCGTAGCCAGTGAAGAGGAAGGCTGCGCCGCCCTTTCCGTACATGCACTTGAGAGCCCGCCAGGGGTTTCCATAGCTGCAATAAGATTCACATTATAGCTGCTTGCCATTGTGGGGACAGGGAATGCGTTTACTTGCGTTGATGAAATGGACGGCGGGTTAGATCGGCCTGTCGAACTATCGCCAATTTGGCAAAAGGCGTTGAGAGCAAGCCGCCGCCAAGTCCGCTTATGCCCACCACTGTAGAGTTGTCGAATGGCTCCAGCATGTGCAAGTATGGGTTGTCCTTCAGCCAGTGGTACAATGCGTAAGTTGTCCCGGTCTGCACCGTACATCGCAGCAGGGCACCACCAATTCCGTAGTAGAAGCCAGCGATCCTCTTCTGCTTGAACATCAGACGGATCACATCCGACATGGAGACGAAGTGCAGGACATTCGCTTGGACGTTCACTCGGATTATGTCTATGGGATGGGAGAGCACAATGGCAGCCACATTGATCAGGTATCCCACATAGACAGGCAAGTTGTCAATGCGCTGGAGTGTTGAGCCACTGCTTTGCTTGTCATTGTCACTGTCATTGCTTTTCATTTTAGAAATTTGTTTTATGGTATTATATTTATTGTGTAATTATTAGACTAAAAGGGAAACCGAAATACTGTAAATACGAATACTACTCGCACTCTGCTTTCAGTTTCACAATCTCTAGCTGGGTTTTCTTCGCCTCCAGCATGGTCACGGTGCGTTTCAGCTCAGCAATCTCATTCAGTTTGGTAAAATACGCAGATTTTGCCACCAGATAATCCGTCTCCGCCTTGATCAGTTCCTTCTGCAGCCGATTGGCATCTGTGTGTGGTGTCGCAAGTGTGTCTATGTGGCTCAGGTACCCCTCCAGGTTGGGACCAGTATTCCGCACTTCTTCTCCGTCCAAGCGCTCAACTTTCGGCTCGATATCCGGCTCTCCTCTGTGTTTGAACTACGAGTGGAAGAGGCAAGCATAAGTAAGTGACTGCCACTTGGGACAAGCGTTTCCGCACTTACCTCCTCGGTCAGGTCCTCCTTTAATTTGTGGCACGACTTTCTGTGGGTGGGGAAACAAACGAAATGTTTACATTGCAGACTGCAGACTGTACCCGACAGACGACTCTCTGGGTACTTACCTATGGATGATGAGCCTGTCGATGCTGGTGTTTGCTTGATACTTGTGGCAGTGCAGGCACAGTGCTCGCTGCTTTTTGCTGACCTCGTCGGCAACAGGAGTGAACCCCAGGCGTTTCCATGTAGATGCTTTGGAGCTCCCGCGTATACGTCCCACTTTCATGGCAAATTGTACAAGTATTTTGACACGAAATTTTCGTACGCGAATGCAACCCTGGCAATGTGGCCGTGCATGTATATGTATATATGTGGCGTTAGTACGTATCTACATGAAGCCATTTTGTTTGAAGCCGCCGTTCATTATTCTGCAATAAATATGCCACGAAAGAAGAACGAAGACTTTTACAAAAAGTACGGGTTTACCGCAAAGTGTGAAAACGGGAAGTACTCGGCTACGTGTCTTTTCTGTCAGAAGGAATTGCAGAATACAGCGCTAACAAGACTGTCGTTACATAGGTAATTGTACATAAAACATACAAATACCGTACATAGAATTATATGCGTATGTGTATGTATATGTATATGTTTTGTATGCCAATGTAATATACAATGTCTCATTTTCAGGCAAACGTGCGATCAGAAAAGAGCCTTATCGGAGACACAATCCATGTATTTGGAAAGAAGGGCCCGTCCTTCACTGAGGGTATGTATTTAATTACTGAATAAAGGACACTTGAGTGAACTCTGTATCCATTAGATTACGCACGAGGACGCGGATGGAGGCATCGATCACGGTAACGAAGGCAAGGAAATCATTGTGAAGGCAAGTACTGGGTGCTGCGTAACCGACCCGATCTAACCTGACCCCATCCATAGATCCAAGAATTTTTAGACGATTGCGAGGACGATCCAGATGCTGATGGGCAGGGCCAGCAGACGGTGATCAAGTGTGAAGTGTCTGAGCATTGTAGCCCCCACATTAATTCTTCAAACGAGGACTATCAAGCAGACGCAATGGAATATGAAATAACAGGAGTACAAGACAACCGGGAATACGTGGAGTTTCTTGATGAATACAAAGAGGTGATGGTAAGAGAGGCTCCCGCGTTTTATATGTCTTCATATTGATTCATATTCCCTGCAGCAAAGCCTCGACAATTCGGCCAATAATACGGAAGCGAATTATGCAGAGAACAGACCGAAGAATAACTTGGCTTCGCTGAAAGCAGAAAAGGTCAGGGCCGAGATTAAGCAGTTCCGCAGCAAGACGCAGTTCTTAACAACAGAAACGGAGAACCTCAAACTGGAAAGGACGCTCTCATTGCTAAAAATACAAAAGCTGCGCTTGGAAATAGACTCTCTGCGCGCACAAAGCTAGAACTTTATACGAATATCAGCAAAAAAGAGTTAATTAAGCAAAAGAATACAAGAAAGTATTTTAGTTGCCAAGTAACACAATTATAAAGCAATACGAGTATATCGGTGGTGCATCCAGTTTTTTCTTCTCCGTGACGGCGGATGTCGCAGTAATTACACCGGGCACTACGGCTTGCTTTAACCTTATTTATTTTCATAATTATAATATAAATGCATTTTCCTAGTCGTCTAGCTTCTCGGGAGGGGGTCCACAAGGCTGCAGCATGCGCTCCATCAGATTAAACCGCACCCGGGCCTTCGACTCGTTCTCCGCAATGGCAAAATAGTTGAGGATATCGTAGTGTCCCATGTAGCTGGCCAGTGAGTCGCGGTGCTGGTTGGTCAGCCACTCGAACTTGGTCGTATCTGCGTGTCCAGTGCCGATGTACTTGCTCTGGAGATGCTCCAACTGGCTGTGTATATTGTAGCGTTCGCCCATTTTCCCACTTTTTTTTTATATTTTCCAAAATAGCAGAATTGTGTGTGTGTGTTTGGTGTGACCGCCGGCTTATATACCTCAGATATATACCGAAATATACATTCTCAACTTTTAAATATACCCAATTATACTGAGGAAAAAATCCAAACTTAACCCACTCAACCCCCCTATATTTATTATTGGCATATTTATTCGGTAACCCCAGGGCGGTCGCACTAATCATCACATGACAGCCATAGGTTTTTCTTTGCATTCGTCGTTTTGTCATATGATTGAAAAAAGTCCAGCGGAAAACTAAAAATGTTGCAGAATTGCGTGATCTTCTCGCTGTTTATTGCAGCCAGTAAGTATATGAACTAATCCAGATGATATTTTGGTCGTGCACTCCACTCGGAATGTGAGAAAACTCCACTTGTTCTCTACACTTTGTTTCGTGTTGGGGGTGGTGACTCCGCCTCTACTTGAGTAAAAGTGTCTCACGAGTGTAGCCTGCATGCGCAGAAGCTGTGATAAGGCTCAGTCACACAGATAAAAGAAAATCTTGTATATTTACACGCCTTTCTTTCGTTTAGTTCATGCTGCGGGCGAGCTGACGGTGCTGAACAGCCCCAAGGCGATCAGCTTCAAGGGCAACGATGCGCTGGACAGTCACTATGTGGGCGATGTTCTGTACGCTGCCATGGGCAATGCCGTCGCTGGAGACTCCAACTGGAGCGGCATGACCATCAACGATCCCTTTGAATTGGCCAAGGGCGTGATCTGCGTGCACGTGCAGGGCATCAGCCACGTTATTACTGCGGGCAGTGCAAAGACCTATCAGCTCACCGATTCCAACACGGATGCCTCTCTCAACGCCCTGTCTGCCGAGCTGGAGGCCACCAACGAACCCGTTTGCGACATCAACTTTGGGCAGTTCGATGAGGGTGTAAGTAGCCGCAGTCCCCCCAATAGAGTCTCGCTTTGGTGCTTGGAATTTATGTAACACTTTGTATCCCCAACAGGTGCAAGCCTTCAAGTCGTGCTTTGGGGACATCAATGCCACCCCCGCTAAGCCCACGAAGCACCTGAACCCTGCTCTGCACAACGCCGACAAGCAGTTCCTGCAGGAGATCGGCTACCTCGATGTCGCTGCCGCCAACCTGGCCGATATGCAGAAGCCCGCAAATGTGCTGATCCTGCGTGTGTCGGTTGATGGCATTGCCAAGGCTCATGGCGAGAAATCGGTGGCCCTGGATGAGGCCAACAAGCTGCTCTCGGCTGCCATTAGCCGACTGCTGGCTGCTTCCCAGAAGTCCAGCGACTCGGTTCTGTTTGTCCAGACCACCGAAAAGGACACCGGTGTGGCCCGCACCAAGCGTGACACCTTGACTGCCGACTCGACGAACCCCTTCAATCTGGCCACCTACTACAGCAGCGACTATCCAGTCATCTTCAACATCATTCTTTGGTTCATGGTCGTCTTTGCGCTGTCCCTGCTGGCCATTTGCTACGCCATCGGTGCCATGGATCCCGGCAGGGATTCGATCATCTACCGCATGACCTCCACCCGCATCAAGAAGGACAACTAAGCGGCATGCAAGTGGAGCCCTTACCTTGTTTTGTTACTTCGATTTCGTCCCTTTTGTTTGAGTTGCGTGAAGCCAACCTCCAGTCAGAAATTAGAACAAATTCAGCGGAGAAATTGTGTGTGTCGTGTGTCGAGTGCAATGTCGTTGCAGTTAGTTGGCTTTAGCTATAAATAAGTATTACTTATCGTTTTTTGCGTATGTGCAGCAACAATTCCATAGTAATTTGTTAAATCTTCCTTGTTTTGTTGTACTTTTTAGGTTTATATATATATATATCTAATGCTATGTAATAACAACATACTCGCCAGTCAGCTCAGTTCAATCCTCTACCAAAACTATTCATCAATATGTAAATTATCAGAAGAAAGTCAAATGTTAAATATATATGGCCTAAAAAGACAAACATTTCGAGTAGTTAAAACACTTTTATTTATTATAGATATTTATTACACTAATAAGGAAGAAAGAGGCGGCGTGGGTTCACCTCTTAAAATCGAAATACCCGAACTTAACAATTTAACAGACGATTTCGATGTGACACGACACTGGTCAGGACTTGGTTCTTTGGCAAAACTTTTCACATTCGATTCGAAGTTGTTTTTGGTTACGCCCCCCAGTGGTCGTGGCCGTGATCGTAGGGCGAACTGCTGCCACCGCTCCAGTTGCAGCAGACACTATCATTCTGGGATGTGGAATTGTCGCGCAGCATGGCTTGCAGATGATTTATATAATTGATGGCAATTCTGCAGGGGCGATTCACAATTAATATTTACACCTCGATGAAAGCTAATCCTCACTCACCTTAGGCTCTCGATTTTGGAGTACTTTTTGCCATTTGGCTTGGAGATGGGCAGCTTGGAGCGCAGCAGGTCGAAGGCTTTGTTCATGTCCCGCATCCTGGTGCGCTCCCGATCGCAGGCCGTGCGCCTGTAGTCCTTCTCCATCTGCAGAGCCTTCTCCCGCCAGGCGGGATTGTGCTCCTTTGAGATCTCCACCTCGGTGCTGCTGGCAATGCTGCCGCCCCCGTAGGCCATGTACATGGGCGGAGGCACCAGCTCGCTGGGTTTGCTCTCCATATGGCTGGACAGAGGCACGGGCAGCTGGCCGCCTGCGTGCCACATCGACACAGGCTGCGGAATGATGCTGTAGGGCGGATGGGCCATCGTGGACTGCATCATGCCCATGCCGGAGGAGTCCTTCTCGTAGCTGCTCATCAGCGTGGGCGTATAGGTGAGGCAGCCATGCGGCGGCGGCAGCGGCTGCTGCTGTGAGGCATAGGCCAGCATGCCGCTTCCATCGCTGGACAGCGTGTAGTTCAGGCTGACGGGTATGTGGCCCGACTGTGGGGTGGCACCGAGCTCCAGCAGCACCGGCTGCTCCGCTGACTCAACATCCTCCTCCGCAGCGCCGTTGAGGTAGGACCCGGGCGTTGAGGCGGGCAGCGCCACAAGGGCAGGTGGCGGTGGCTGGCCGGAGGCTGCACTCAGCAGTTGATCAGTCATCGCCTAAGCCGATTTCAACGTCCGCTGATGGCAATGAACGCGATCGATATGGCACTGGCACTGGCACTGGCAATGGAATTTCTTTTCGATCGGTGGCTCGTTGCTGTAGGCTTACCTGTCGGTGGACACTATTTTTAGTGCATTAGAAGTTTGCCAGTCGAAGCGGGGACAGAGGATTGCCTTAGTTTATTCCGTGATGAATGTCTCACCATCATCCGAGACGTGTGACTGACTAGGGTCCAGTGGCCACGGCCCTTAGCCAGCACCCAGCATCAGCATCCCACTTAGATGATGAAGAGCTCTTTTGTACGTGTGTCAATATCGATCGATCGCAAGACAATGGATGGACGGGTGCAACTTGTCGTCGAGGATCGTCGTGTACCTGCTGGCGGGGCAGGGTGGGGGGTATGTCCAACAAAGCCGCTTAATTTCCTTGCTATTGTGAGCAGGGAATGAAGGGAGATCGTCGATGCTGCGGCGCGTGTGCCAAGCTGAAGTTGCGTTTGTCGTCTGCTGTGGCTTCGATCGTCGCCACAACTTCAGTTTGAGTTTTTCTTCTTGATCGCTATGTACTCCATTATGAACTCCTCGCCCGCACCCCTTCAGGTATGTATGTATGTACTCCTCGCCCGTGTGTTTGTATTTTTGTCGCATGTAAACACAAGTGTTTTGGCTTAATTGAAAAAAATACATATCCATGTCCCCATAGCCAGAGGCATTAATATACACCTCTATATGTGCTCCCTAGTTCTGGCCTCTCATTGCCTCTCAAATGCACTCCCAATTTCAAACTAATCCATAAAACTACAGTGAAGCGTTAGTCCATGACCTTGAGCTCAAACTTAGCTGTGCAAATGTTGCTCTGATAAAAGTTCTTCAACTATAATAAACTTCTATGAGCAATGGGTCTATGAGTATTATATTCCCCTTTACTGTACCCTCACTGTATGCCTTCTGTGCCGAGAAACCCAATTCATTAGCCAGATCTCGTATTACCGCTCCACCATCCACACACACTCCACACAAACCCCCCCCAAGGGAAATTACTTACATTTTTGTACAGCCAAAAGTTATTGTAGCTGCATTGCCAGAGCGTGTTGCCGGGAATCGGAAATAAATATGCCAACTACCAGTGCGAATTGCAGCCTCTGTGTGGTGGGTGTCGAGTGGCCAGGAAGGTGTAGATTGCCCCCCCCCGAAAAGTGGGTTACATACGCAACTCGAAGCTTACTGAAGTTTATTGTTTGCTGCAGTGTTTGTGTGTGTAAAAAAGTCGAAATAAATAGGCAAAGTGTACAAATATTAAGTGGGCAACACGAGCTCTGAGCCGTGGCATAGATCAATTCATTGCAATTATGTACATAGGAGCAGGGGGGATCGGGAACGGGCTCGGGTCACGCTGCTCAGTTTCAATGTTAACTAATTTGTGACAAGCCAAGCCAAGCTCCAGACCATCGAGTGGCGGCGTCAAGCAAATGCGTAAGAACTAGACCCCCCTCTGGGAATTTCTAGCTAGCGAATTTCAGGGGCCGCAGCTCAAAGTATTTGTCCAGCACCTCCTCGGTGATTAGCTTGCGCGCCGCCTGATGCTGCTCCACAATGGGCGTGAGGGTCTATAAAGTGGGACATTAGCTTAGGGTTTTGTCAACATTCTCGTCGCTACTCACCTCCACGGCCAGCTTCTTGATCTCTCCTGTTAGCATCTCACCCTTGCGGTAGGCCACGCGCACCTCCTCCAGCTTGGCATCGTCCTCGAGGAAGAACTTTAGCAGCTGGTAGGACACATCGATCTCTGGCACGCCGCCCAGCTGTCGGTGCTCCTCCACCGTTGTGCGGCCACCCGAGAAGGCATACTTGTTGATCTTATTTTTGATCTGCTTGGGCGTATCGGTCAGGAACACCGCAGAGTTCTGGTCGCTGGCCGACATCTTTGTCTTGGCTCCCTGCAGCGCCGGGAAGAAGGTCGAGTGGATGAGCGCACACTTGGGGAAGCCCAGACGTGGCGCCACATCGCGCGTCATGCGGAAGTAGGGATCCTGATCGATGGCGCACGGGATGAGGCAGTGCACCTTCTTGTTGCCGAAGAGGAAGGGGAAAGTGCTGGAGATCGCAGGCGCTGCCTGGGCGGCGGGGAAGCCGATCTTGCCAATGATATCCGAGTCACCAAAGCCGAAGATGCCCTTCACCTGGTTGAAGGTGACGCACCTCTGGATGCGAATGATGTTCTGGTACATGGCAGGACACTTTCTACGAGGACATAAATGATTAATAATGAACTGGGAAACACTTGGAATCCCTTTGTGGTCCTACCCCATAAACTCCAGGTTGTTGAAGATAAAAGTTTTGTTCACATCAAAGCCCATGGCCACAATATCCTTGGCATTCTCGCGGGCCAGCTTGATGGCATCCTCCACCTTCAGGTCCTTCCACAAGGTCTTCTCGTCGTCCGTCAGCTGAATGACCAGCGGCACATCGAACGTCTCCTGCAGCCACTTGGTCAACGTGAAGGGTATCAGGTGGCCCACGTGCAGGGATCCCGAGCTGGGGCCGCGACCCGTGTACAAATAGAAAGGCTTGCCCTGCTCCTTCAATGTGAGAATGGTGTGCAGATCGCGGTGCGAGAAGAACATGCCGCGCCTAATTAGATGGTGTGCGGGCTTGCCCGTGATTTTCTCGAACCGCGCGATAAGCTCATCATCGATTTTGCTGGAGCCAAAGCGTTCTGCAACGTGTCAATTACCAATATCGTTAAGGAAACTCGAGGTTTGTGTGTATTGAGTGGCTGGCACTTACTTATTAGCTTATCATAGTCCACTCCGGTATCGTTGCTGCTCGCCACGTTCCACGGATCCACCACATCTTCAACAGCAGCCCCTGCGGCTGCTCCTCCTTCTTGGGCCTGTGCATCGGTGCCCGTTTCCACGGGCTCTGCTTCGGCCTTGCCATTCAATGTCAGCGCCTCCACGCCTTCAACCACTGTGTCCTTGGTGTCCGCCATTGGATTAGGGGTTCAGTCTGCACTGTTTTAGGCAATAAACAATAAAAATAAGTAATACTGGCGAAATTCTGCCTTTCACATGTGGAGCGCAGTTATCGATAAAGTGAGTGAGCGAAATTAACCCACTTAACACCCATATATTTATGCAGGTGAACAACTTGAGTTAAAAAGCGAAAATGTATACTTTTTACACATCTTCCGTGTAGTTTTAAACGGCTGATGAACCAATTGCTTAAAAGATTGGATATATTTTTATATGTTTTTGCTAGCAAATTTGAGCACAGAGAGGGAAAGTATCGTCATCGAGGTTGACAGCTGACAGCAATCGAACACTTTTATCGAAAAAACCAAGAAAGCAGCCGGCTGCCCGCATTTTGTAAACAAATCAAAGTTTTTGCTAATATCATGGCCAGCGGTTCTCGTATTACCACTCTGCCACAGTCGAAAGAAGCGCTGCTTAAGTCCTACAATGCGCGCCTGAAGGAGGACGTCCGTAGCATGCTGGAGAACTTCGAGGAGACTCTGAAGCTGGCGCGCAGGGACAGCCACAGTCAGATATCACGTACGACGCAATCGGAGCAGGATGCACTTGAAATGCAGATACGCGCATCCAATATGGTGCGGGCCGGAGAATCCCTGATGAAGCTGGTCGCCGATCTCAAGCAGTATTTGATTCTGAACGACTTCCACT